ATGACTACACTTGCCGCATTCGCCAGTCTACTTCTGCTCTGTCGGATTCGCAGACAAAGGAATAGGGACAAAGTATCAAACAAGCATTGCTGATCATGGAATCTGGTCAAAGCCCGGCAGTATGGCTCGCCATGCTGTGACGCAGGTGTGGAGCAAAGCATCGCAGGGGGTGTCGTCCTTGGCCAGGAGACACCCCGGTCCCCATGTCGGCGAGCATGCGGATTGGGCTCATAAAACAATACTCCCGCCCCCTCCAAAAGAGTACCAACGAGTAGTGAGGCACTGTCATGACTGCAGCGTGACACCTCATGAGGGGCCCGACCTCTGGTGACCCTGTGTCAGTTATAAAGAAAGGGGGAGATGTTGGGCGCAGGCGCTCAACATACCATACCCCACCCGGGACTAAGGACCACACCAGCTTCCGCAATGCGCTACATCCCTCTTTAAATTAGCCAACCCGTGCGCACTTTGTGCTCACTCCATACTCTATGGCAACTCCTGATTGGCCACAGCTGGATATAGTAGCCGGAGCCTGCGTCCCATTCCCGCCCTGCTTCTCGTGGCAGCCTGTGATTGGTCACGGCCAGATATATAAACCAGAGCCCGCGTAAATAAACCAGCAGTTAACTGTCGCCCACAAGAGCGTCTCCTGTCTCATTGGGGGGGCTGCGCCGGTCAAGCTATAAAGTTATGCTTCCTTTAAACATGCTTATCACCACTAGGCTTATGGAAACAAAGTTCCTGAGCTACCTGGGAAGATAAGATTGTGTGCCAGTTTGCGGGTGAATAGGCTGACTGAATTTATCTTCTCCTCTCTTCAGATGGCATCCACCTCCCTTTGATATGGGGGAATGAAACTCCCAACCTACTACATGTCCACTATGCGTTCTTGTTCTCTAAAATCAAAGAATTAATTTTAGGAACAACAGAGGTTAAGAGCATAATATATTTATTGAGAGAAAGAAATCTTCTTTCTGGGAGAGAGACAGAAGGTGTCCCAAGTGGGTTACCCAGGATTCTATCTTTTCTAGGGACTTTATAGAGCTAAACCATGAGGTAAAGTGGGTCTAAGGTATGGTAGTGGGGAAATGGGAACTTACAATGTGGGCATAAGGTGGACCAGAACTACAATCAACCAATAAGATACTCAGGTGAAATTGATTAAATCAGGGACAAATGAGGAATAGAGTCACATAGCAAGCAGGCATGCTCTTGCAAGTCACCATCCCAGTCTCCTAGAAAGAGGCTGGATGGTGACTTCGGACTTGCTCAAAGTGATCCACACCTACTTAGAACAGCAACACTTGGGGTGTGGTTGCTTTGGTTTTGTCTTTTGTCTTGAGATTTGGCCCATCACAGGAGGTGTTTGTCTCCTCCAAGGTCACAAGACATCTTGGTCCTCTGTGCTGGCTCCCTCATGGGGCTAGCCCTGTCAGACTGCCTATAATATTTCTATCTAACTCAGCTGCCTATAACACCCTGGAATAGAATCAACCCAAGAGATACCTTGAGGGCATTTGTCAGTTAGAAATAGAAAGGGATACCTGATTATCTCCTTTCTTGCACAGTTAGGTAGCTCAATATCAAAGTTTCATGTACTACAGGGCTAAAGACAGATCAGCTAAAGGTCCTGAGTTCAATTCCTGGTACTGAAAAAAGTTTCAGACTGTTATACCTTGCTTTTTACATGACTGACACGGGTAACTCAATGCCAAAGCCCTTTACTCCTTTGGAATGTGTTCTTAAGCACTGGAAGATGTTTGACCCTTTCATGTTTAAAAGAGCCGTTTGATATTTCTCTGTAGATGTTGGTGGCCTACCTTCCCCCTGGAGTCAAAATGGAATACCGAGGGAAAATTAAATATGATATTCTTTTACAATTAAAATCATACTTTTTTTTGTTTTGTTTTGTTTTGTTTTTTTGAGACAGGGTCTCGCTGTGCAGTTCAGGCTGGCCTTGTGCTCACTTTGCAGCCTAGGCTGGTCTCGAACTCGCAATGATCCTCCTGCCTCAGCCTCCCGAGTGCTGGAATTATAGGCATGAGCCACCACGCTCTGCTTAAAATCATACTTTAAGAAAGAGGAGAAATAGTTAGAATTACTTTATGTTGAAACTTTCTTTACATTAAGATATAACTCTTATTTATGCTCCAAGTATAATTATAACCCTTATGAGACTACTCCCATTTATAGTCTTTTTTTCTTTCAAAGATTTAAAGCAAATAAATCTAGAACTAGGAAAATTTTCAGATGACCCTGATAAGGAGATTGATGTTTTTAGAGGACTTACTCAGACCTATAAACTAGATTGGAAAGATTTAATGTTAACACTTAAATCAAAGATTGACTTATAGTGACAGACAGGTAGCATTACAAGCTGCTATTGCATTTGGAGATAAATATCATATTGTTAATTTTAGAAAGCCAGAGGTCAACAGTCAGGGGAACTACCTTGGCACACAAGCAGTTCCCACCTAAGACCCAACCGACCTGATGACAGTACAGGGGATGAAAACAAGAGACATTTTCAGGTGTATGTTCTTGAAGGTCTAAGAAGGACAAAACCAAGCCTTCTAGTTATTTTACATTGTAAGCTATTTTTCAGAAGAAAGATGAAGACCCCTCCAACTTCTTAGATTGTTTATTAGAGGCACTAATAAAACATGTCCATAGATCCTGATTCAATAGGGCAGATTTTGCTAAAAGACATGTCTATTACCCTGTCAAATCCAGATATTAGAAAACAGTTACAAAACATAGCTTGGCTCCAGATATTCCACTGGATACTTTGGTAAAAATTGCCTCCTTAGTATTCCATAATCAGGACTGGGAGAAGGCTAAAGAAAGAAATCAAAGAGACCAAAAAGTGGCTGCCTTTGTTGTAGCCTTTAAAAACACAGACCTTAAGTCTGATTCTCAGGGCTCCAAGAAGAACTCAAAGTCTACACCAACCTGCTATTGCTGTGACAAGCCAGGCCACTTTAAGAGGGACTGCTTTAAGAGGCCCCCCCCCCACCCCCCAGCCATACCTAACTTCAAATGTAACCCCTGGAAGTCGACTGCTCTCTGAGGCCAAGGCCCCAGAGTTCAGATCCATCCTATCAGTTGGTCCAGCAAGACTAAAGGGCTTTGGGGCACTTGTCCCCTTCCATCTGGCCAGACTGTCATCTCTACCTATCATCTCCTTGGAAAAGCCTGAGTAATCATGACAAGAGGTAAAAACCAACCTATTGCTGGACATTGGCACATCTCTGTGTCCTTTTCAACTCTGTTCTTCCTTCCAGGCATTGTAGCTCAGTAAACGCACCAAAATATATGTTGCTTAGACTGTAATTGGGATAACTTTCTCTTCATTGATTACTTTCAGTTATGCCTAAAAGCCTGACTCCAATTCTGGAGAGATTTTATCATATTTAAATGCTGAAATATATATCCATGTTGCCAACTAATCAAAACGATTACTGGTTTTTATAAATGAGACTGGTTTTACAAATACAGTACATATTGTTTTTCATGTATAAAAACTTAAGAGAGTTTTTCATTTGTGAAAATAATGTATTAATCTGATTGTGATGCATTATCAAAAATTTAGGGATAATTATAACTAAAGCTAGAGGAATTTATGACAAAATGTCAGACTCTATCAATAAAAGGACCTAAGAGCCAGTAGGTTACAATTCCTGTAATTTAGAAATAGTTTCTAAACTTACTGTTAGCTCTAATGCTCATGCTTTAATTATACATGCCTTTGTATACATACTTTGATTATACATGCTTTGATTAAGGTTGTTGCCTAAAAGGTGTCAGACCCCAAAGCATTTCATGGAGATGACACCAATAATAAATATGCTAAATTCCTTTTACTAGAATCCATCAGATCTTGTCCAGAAAAAAAGTTCTATGACATATGTTGAGGCCTTAACTAACTGTACTCAGCAGGCCTTAAGTGATACCGTAGCTGGTCTCTCTCTCCTAAACAAAAGAAAAAATTAATGAGACAGGGCATCCTCCAAAATAAGATGGCATTAGACGGTCTAACAGCAGCACAGGAGGTACTTAAGCAACTGTAAAAACTAAAAACTAATCAGCATTCCTGATTCTTCTGCTAATATCTTAATAACTGCTCGAGATGTCAGATGACAAATCAATCAGTGACATGTCAAACTCGATAAAATTCCCTGGACCTTACCCTTATCTTCCATATGATGGAAATCTTTCGCACCTGTCCTCATAATTATCCTAATAATTCTATTAGTTAGCCCATGCATACTTGTTTCTTTGTCTTTGTCTCCCCTAGACTTACCCAAGATAAAAATGCCTGGTATCAACTGAGGACCTTTAGATACAACCTCCGCAGAGTATCCTGGCTATCATTTAACTACTACAGCCCACTTCGGCCTGAAGAAGCCAGACATTGCACATTATCCATTCATGGCAGTTCAAATTACTTCAAAGGAGGGAATGTTATAGGCAGCTGATTAGTCAAATATTTTAAGCAGTCAGGCAGAGAACCAAATGACTTGTGACCTTAGAGGAGACAAACACCTCCTGCTGTGAGCCAGATGTCAAAACAAAAGACAAAACAAATGCAACCACTCTCCAAATACTGATATTCTAAGTAGTTCTCTATCAGCCAGGAGTCACCATCCCAATGTCCTATAGGAAGAGTCACTGATCTTTAACCATGCCCACTTATTCCGTGATTCACTTCCCCATTGGTTCCCAATTTAATCAATTTTACCTGAGCAATTAATCTTACTGGGTAACGATGGTTCTGTCCCACCTTGTGCCCACCTTGTATGTTTTCCCCATCTTGGACCTATCTTACTCGTGGTTTTGATCCATAAAAGTCCCTAGAAAAAACAATTTTTGGCAACCCACTTGGGATGCCTTCTGTTCCTCAGAAGCTTTCTTTCTCTCAGTAAATATTCTGCTCTTAAGATAAAATAAAAAGTACATTTCACGAACCAACAGAGAAAGTTTTAAAACTTGAAGGCAAATGTGTTATGCTTTGTTTTTATTTGGAATCATAAAAGAAACATTTTAATAAATGCTTAATTTTTTTCCATTAATGTGATTTAAATAAGAGTTTACATAGAGATTGAACTGTTTTATTTACATACTTTCAACTATAGAAAAACGATTCTGTGTGTGTGTGTGTGTGTGTGTGTGTGTTTACACCATCACACCCAATCAAGCCAAACAAGATGGTTACCTAAAATGATTAATGAGTGCAGCATTAGCTGATGGCTTTAAATTTAGAGTGTGTTACTGATGTCAGGCTTGATTAGTCCTCTAACTAAAATTGATGCTATTAAAAGCTTTGAGTAGTTTAGATGTAGTCATTAAGTAAAATTCCAATGAGAGAAATTCTATAAACATTGATTCTTTGTTGGATTTCCTTGTGCAGAAGGGAAAGGCAGGGAGAGGACAGGAGAGAGGTGGGGAGAAGGACAGAGACCCTTTACTGATGAAATGGGAGGAACAGGAAGCAGGGAAACTGATCAGGTAGCATCAGTCATGGCAAAGGTAAGAAGCTTGGAATAAAAATAAAATCTCATCTTTATACAAAGAATCCCAACTGGTTAAGGGTATGGATTATGGATATAGATTATTTTAGCTTCAGAACTTTTCAAGAAGCAAGAATAATAAATGAAAGAAAGGTAGAAGGTTAATATAACCCCGTGCCTTAGTAACTCGTTTATAAATAGTCAATGTGGAGACCAACATTTTTATTAACAAGATACAAGGAAAGCATAGCAAAAGTAAAGGTGATGTAATTCACTGGATGAAATGATTTTGTATCATTTCAGGAACTAGAACAAAAACCAGAAGAGTTATAATCATGAAATTGCAAGGTGAAGGGCCACCTCTGTGAACTTAAGACTAGACTGAATTCAATCCTGAGATTACTGCACAAGATTCAAGGAATCACACAGAAGGTAGCTATGACTTTAGGAAAGTGAGCAGTAGAGGATGTTCAATCATTTCCAATGTTTGTGCCTTTAAAATGTTTTATTATTGGTCCAAATGTCCCAAGACATTTTAAATGAGATGAAAACATTCTTTAGTTGAGCAACGTTCTCTGAATATTTCGATGCCATCTGTCTGAGGGCACGGTGAAACGGAATCTGTCAGTGGGTTGTATCAGTCTGAAAGGTTCCTGTTATTTGTCACGAGTGCAGGTTAGCTATCTCCAAGAAAAAGGCAGCAAATAATTTGGACCCCTCTATGTAGTTCAACCTAACAAGGGAAAACAAACAAAAACTTTGTTACAATTTTCAAATGAAAATGGAAAGGTCTACCATATAGATAAGAAGAGCTGATCTTATAAATTCAATCTACAGTACGTAACACACTTCTGAGATCCCAGGATAAAAGGCACTTGGTAAATTCCGTGGGGGAAATAGCATTATTATTAAGATAGGAGGAATTAAGAGGTGGAGGGATGGGAAAAGGAGGAGGAGGTAAGAAAATTAAGATATGCTCTGTACATGTGCCAACTCCTCATAATGAATGTAGCTATTATGTGCCGCAGAAGTGCTAATAAACATCTGAAAAGAAAAAAGATAGTAATGTGTCCTGTATTCAAACTCCAAAAAGACCATTTTCTTTGGTTTTATATCATTGACATGACAGATATCAGAGTCAAACTCATGCTTTATCACTGCTCTGTGAGGCTTAATATTTGTATAACCTGCCAGTAATGTGTGTATCAAACATAACTAAATGTCCCTTGTGGTAGACAGAATGTCATGTCTCCTAATATTCATACATGCAAGTCACTCCCAAAGAGACTATTTGGAAGTAAGGCCTTTGAGACAACTATAAAGTTAAATAAAATCAGAAGAGTGAGCTTGGTTCCGTAGACCTGATGTCCTTACAGGGGAGGAAGAATCACCAGCTGATTTCTGGCTGACATGCGTCTCACACCCCTCTCCACTTCCTCCACCTTGCCATGTAGGACACTGGGAGAAGGTGGCAATCTAAGAGACAGAAAGAGAGCCCTCTCCAGGGACCAAGTCAGCGAGCACCTTGACCTGGGACTTCCTAGTCTGCACCACTATGAGAAAATAAATCTCTGCTGCTTAAACCAAACGTTCTGGTATGCAGTCTGGCATTCGGTATGCTGGTATGCCAGAAGAGGACCTGAACCTGACTACATGGAACCTCAGGCCTGTGAAGGGAGGCCCAGCGGCACAAGATGTGCTGACCTATTGATCTTCTCATTCTGAGAGTGCTCTCCATCATCAACAGCCCCCAGTGGAAGCATCATCACACTCTTTTGGATAATGTCTTGGAATATTTTGGCGATAGGAATACTTGATCCATCTTGGATCATATCAGGTTCTGTTCCAAACACTGAAACAAAAAGCAAAGAGATTATTGGAATAAATATTGACAAGACTAACTCCTACTGATCTCAAATGGTGTGTTTGCTTTCTCTCTCTTTTTTTTCCCATTAGGTTTAGTGCCTGCAGTAAGATTCTTTATATTATGTAATTTATATTTAGAAATGAAAATACAGTTGGGAACAAACCAATAGATGTCTTCTTTATAACTACCTATGTTTAAAATTTCTTAAGAGTTTTTATTTTTTGAATTCAGAGTTACAAATATAGAACAGATATCATTCCCATATATCCCAGACTCCACTTTCCAAGGCATTAACATATGTAACTATTGTACAATGATCAAGAATTGGTACATGTTATTAACTACTTGCCACAGTTTATTAGACTTTAACTCATCCTTTTTCTATTTCAGAATCCATTTTGGAATCCCTTGCTGCATATTATTATTGTTTCTCAGTCTTTTCTAGCTTTTGCTTTTGTTTTTTGAAACAGGGTCTCACTGTGTAGTTCAGGCTGGCCTTTGAACTGACAGTGCAGCCCAGATTATCCTCAAACACATGGCAATTGTCCTGCCTCAACATCCTGGATACTGGGATGACAGGCGTGTGCCACTTCACCCAGTTTTACAGTCTTCTAATCTGGAAGATTTGCTCAGTATTTTCTTGTCTTTCTTGACCTTTGGTTTCTTAAAAAGTACTGGTTGATTGTTTTGTAAAATTTTCCTCAATTTGGTCTGATGTTTTCTCATGATTGAAAGAGGCTATGCACTTTTGGGAAGACACAAAACTATATGCCTATTTTCATTTTCATTGTGAATTAAATACTATGGAAGTATTGCATTTTGCTGAAAACAAATAGCTGTCCTCACTGTCCCTCGAACAGCACAATGTGTCTTCTACCTCTGAAAGCATGCCATGAAATAGTTCTAACTACTGTCCTGCATTCTAATGGAGACACAGATGCACTCAAACCTTCTAGGTCAGAGAACAAGTGATGGTGTGGAAATGAAAAAACAAAATAATAAAAGAAAACATAGCATCTCTTCTTTATTCACAAGGCAAGATATAAATGTGAACAAAGGTGATAGAGTTTGTTAGCTACACTAGTGTACACACGGTACAGTAAAAAAATGTCCTCCGCATTCTGTCTTTTAATAGCTATTATCCTTGACATTTCAAACACACATCTCACTTTAGTCGGTATTACATCTGCTTTCCTAACTCTTTTCCCTCTTCTCTTCACTCTCAAATTTTACTGGTGAAAAATCTGCTAAAATTTAGGGTAACAGAAACAATGGATGTAGAGAAATCTAACTCAGCCTTGGACTTCTCTAATTTTTCGTATCTTTGTCCGTAAGGAGATAACCCCACTGGAGACAGTCTGCCCTTCCGGTTCTCGCTCAGCCCTTATTAGCAGGGTAGCTACAGACCCTATCTGTAACATAAGGCTGAAGGGATATGTAAACACGTGCCAGTGGCTTCCCATCTAGCTTTTGGGGATACTGCAACACTCTGGGCTTGGGGGAGCCCTCAGTTTGCTATCGTTGGCAGGGTATCTATCCTGCAACAGAAGCCATAGAGACTGAATAGTCCCTATTTCTGCTCTGACAGCTAGTGCCCACACACATGCCCTCTGCCAAGCACATCACCTGTCCAGTCCAGGATTTTTAAATCATAGAATTAAAGTAGGAGCCACTGAACAAATTCCAAACAAAATCATACTGCCTTTGGGGAACCACTGTGACTTTATGAAAAGATCATTGGTTGTAGAGTTGGACAGCTGGCATTGGGCTTCTAGCGTGTTCTATGATCTTTTATAGTGAGCTCATCTCTAGGAAGCCCTTCTGTGGAAATATCACATGGTGACCTGGGCTGTGTCCCTGCAGGGCAGTTTGTTGTATGCATCAGCCAGGCAGTACAACTTTAGGTTTGGGAAGAAGTAGGCCAGTCCCATAGTACAAATTAAACACTCAACTCCATGTGATGATGGGTCCATGGTTAAAAATTCTCAGAGGTGACTTTGTGTTCATCCAAAGCACAGGTAAAGATGGTGAAGCTACATCTGTGTGTGTGCAGCAGGCGCACACGCGTGTGCACACACACACACACAGCTGTTTTTGTAGTAGGTCTCATTTTCAATTCCCCGCCTTATGCTGGCCCAAGGCCGTTACAGCACAGCCTCTTTATAACAAGGACAGCGGATTTCTGCTGGGCAGCCAGTGTCCCACTTGCTCACCCCACTAGACTGGCTTCTCCATTTCTAGCACTAAAGGATTTCCCTTGTAAAATGATGTTTTGGTCTGCTCACCAACATTTCCTTGAGTTTTACATCAGGAGGTTTTGATGTTTTTCTAGTTCCTCAATTTCCCCCAAATTCAGGTCTCTGGACTAGAATTTGTGCTCTGGCTTTGTCACTTAATACCTGAGTGATTTTCATCAAATGACTACATATCCTTAAACCCTTAATTTCCTGCTCTGTAAAAGAGAAGAGATTTTTGGGAGGATTACATAATATAGGGAGCAAAAATAATCTTTTACATAGTGAGTACACTCAATAATATACCTTAGATAAAGAGAAGAGTTGATATTTGAATTTTAAAAGTGTCTGATCTGATGAGCTAGGCATATCTGCACACACCTATAGTCCCAGTACTCTGGGAGGCTGAGGCAGGAAGATTGTAAATTCAAGCCTAATCCACTTGCAAGACCCTGTTTAAAAATTAAAAAGAGAGAAGGCTTGCTGTGCGGGGCTTAGGTTCAGTCCTCAGCACTGCAAAAGAAGAAGGAGAGGTAGAGGGCTGTCTGCTGATGCACCCATTGGTCCCACACGGTAAACCGGACCATGAAAATACCCTAAGGTCCTACCTGTTCTGATGGCTTTTTTTGCTGCAAGATACTGAGTATCATTAATATTTGTAATCCATGGCTGAATTCCTACTACCATAGAAACAGTCATCTTATTGGAACTATTTCTTTGGGAGAATACATCTTCAAGATGCTGCTTTACCTACAAGACAACATTTTTGACAATAAGAGATTGCAGTTTATTCTCCCAAGCAGTGTTTCATCAAGAACTCAAACAAAGTATTTACTTCAAAAAATTGGAATGCTGTGACTTTCCCTTCATTTCACCAGAGGGCCTGATACAGTGAGTGGGATTTTTAGCACTAAGAACAGAGGCCCTGGGCTGCACCCCGTGGGGAACACTTGCTGTTGCTCCTCCTCTCCCTGTGACCTGCAATCCCCAATCCTGTCCCCACTCCAGCCGTATAACAGTGTCTGCTAAATACTGTGTTACAGTAATGTTTCCCAAAAATTGTGAGATGTAACACAATATCTCAATTAGAAAGTTCTGATTTTGGATTTATTAATACCCCAATGAATACTTTGGGAACATTAAGCATTTGGGACATTTCAAAAAAAAACCAGGAGCCTTCTCAAGCCCATCTGTGAAGATACTTTAACATCTCTCTCTTCTCCAGTCCCTTGCCAGTGGCTGCTGTAGAAATCCTCCTAGGAAATCTTTGAAATATTTCTTCCTTTTATTCCTTAGCAAATATTTATTAACACCTGTCATGTGTCAGAGACTTCTAGGTGCAAGGGAGACAGCTGTGAAGAAGGGCAAAAAAAAGGCCCTGCCCTCCTGGAAGGCATATGTTGTGAGAGAAAGGGACACTACACGCAGAAGGAGAAAAGGAAGGGCGGGGGAGGCTTCTTTAGAATGCAGTTAGTGCCAACGAGATCAGAGAACAGGATAATGAGAATTCCTTAACTCATTTATCCAAGAAACTACCTTCTGTTACACTAGCTTGAGGTGAACTGATGCTGAGTTGATAATTTAGACACAGGATTACACACGATTAAAATGGTTTTCAAAGTGTTGATTTCAGACATCATGAAAAACAAGTAACTGTACCTAAGATTTTGTGGCTCCCTCCAAGAATAGGCAGGTACCTATTCTAGCTATACATAAAAACCATTTCACCTTTATTGTTACTAATTTTTTAAAAAATTTCCCATCACTACAGCTACAAATAATTATATATCTAACTATAGTAACTGCATGTAGTTGAGGAAAAGGTTTTCCCTGAGCAAGACTGGCAGGGGCTTCTTCACATTTGTTCCAGTTCTTTTGTGTTGAGCATAAAAGGTTACTTCAGTGATAACTGAGTTGCTTGCCATACCATGATGTGAGAGACTCGCAATTGGTGCTGCTGAGTGACACTGAGCAGTTGTTACCTGTCCTTCCACCACAGATACATTCATGTGAGGGACTAGACGAATCGAAAATTTCCCTGCAACCCGGCCAGGTATGACTGTTTTAATTCCAGGCTCATCAAATGCACCTTCAATTCCATGGATAGAAAGAGATGGGTACCTCCATAGGTGCATTAGAATTTCCTCCTAAATAAAAACAAAATCATCCAAAGAAGATCTAGTTAATACACAGCTGAATTAGATCACTTATATCTCTAGCATCTATGCACCTCAAAGTCACTCATGACACGCAAATAAGCACCTAACTTAGAGGTGCCTGCACTGTCACTACGGGGTGGACCATTTCCTCAGAGCACACACTTGTCTCCTTATGTGGCCTTTTCTGCCCAGACCTCTCTGCCCACTTCCCTTTTGCCCAGGTATTAATAGTTTGACATTAATAGACTGAAAATTTTGACTTCAGTTATAAATTTCTATCCATGATCATTTCAACAATGACTTGTGCACCATATTTTTCTTGTTCAGAAGATCTCAAAGAACTTGCCACGTTTTATCCAGTTTCTTCTTGTAGCCATCATAGACTTACTCTGAGAAAAGAAATACACTTTAAAACAATGAATCCTGCCTCTTCTTTTTAACATGATTTTGGATTCTTTTTATAGTCCCCCCAGAAGTCATCCATAGCTACCAAGTATGTGAGCAGGCAAGTATTTTTAAAAGGAAACAAACAAACAAACAAACAAAAGGTTAAAATTTCCGGTAATAAATGCTTTGGGTTCTGAATTTCCTTAGTACACACAGGAAACCATCTGGTAACTTAATAGGTTTGCCTCTGAGGCTCTTGGCACACCCTGGAAAATTGAACAGTAAGTGCTCTTGGAGCTGAAACACTTTCAAACTTTCCCAAATCTTCAATAGTCAAACTTTGCTTTTTGGCGGCAGGCTGGCATGGGATGTAAATTAATAACCTGGCTTGGAAAAGCATGGCTCTGACATTACTGGACCCTAGAAACAGATCTAGACTAGAAACGTGGTATGAAAATTAAAATCTGCCTAATGTTTTCTCTTGTTTCTAAAATGCATGGGTTAGCATCACCTGGTGCTCATTAGTCATTAGGAAAATGTGATTTGTTATCCTTCCTTTCAGACTAGCCATTAGTTTATGGCCATACCTTTGTATCAAACAGAAATTTCTCAACCTGATTGCTGTTCCGATACTGCTCAAGGTCTAGATCAATAGCTTCATACATTGTTTTTTCCTCCTCAGTAATAGGAGCCACTTGGTCATAGATTCCGGGTATCAATATGTGACCTGATGAATCCACCAGGCTACCTAAAAAAATGCACACAGAAAACAAAACAAGATAGAAATTACAAGCATGCTGAGGCTGTGGCCCTGGACCAGGACCAAGTGATGGCTCTTCTGGATACAACGGGCCTCATGACTACTGGTGGTTTCCCTGGCCACAGCCATTGGCCACAACTCCACCCAAGAGATGTTTATCAGGGGAAGGAGCTGTTTGACAGGTGGACTTATCCTGAATCAGACACCCTGCAAATCAGACACCCAGGCCTGGTGACATACAGGCCTTGAAACACAGTGAATCTACAATAAACTTTATCAAATGTGATAACCTTCATAATGTTCATGTTCTGAACTCTACCTTTTTTTATAAAGCTCTTTTTTTCATTTTATCCTAAATTAGAAAGTATTGATCTAATTACAAAACACTTAAAATATATAGGTATACACACAGGAGAAACACAAGATTTCCATCACTTCTCTATCTCCTTTATATTCTCCTCTTAATAATATAGTTCTCAGCTTTTAATCAGAGGTATATCCTTAAGGTGTAACCTACCATGATTCCAGAGTCTTTTGTAGTGTGTGAATATGTATAGTAGTCTTCTCTTTATGAAAGTGTTTTAGAATCAGAGTGGAGAAAAACATCAACAAATATCTATAAAGAAGCTGATGCTGAGGTTTAGTAAACACATTTATCAAAGATAAATAGAACTGGAAAGGAGTTGATAAAAATGATACAAAATCAAGTCAGAAAATGAATTCTCAATCCACCTAAGTACACTTTATTCAAGTAAAAACCCTTCATAAATAGTGTACCATAGTGTTAGTACGATTAGAATTTGACACTGTCAGAGAAGGAACATTACTGTGAAACACTCTAAGATCTTTGGATTAATGTCAACAACTACCAAGCAAGTCTTGAAGATGCTAGGCACTGACTCATAATGGCCAGTTACTGCATGCCTACTCTTTCCTAGGTGCTCGGTGAATGCTGGGATGTGAAGACACACCAGCTGACCCCTCCTTCCACAGTGAGGAAACCATCTCTGAACACAAGGTAACAAGTTTGATACCATGTGAGCAGATCAATAGGTTCCTTGACTCTAATTCACAAAATACCCTAACAAAATCCACAGGGATTGTGGGAGTGTGATATGTAACAGGCTTCCCAGCACTTTGAGAATAGTCGTGAACAATCTAAGTTTAAGGCTTGAATTGTGTCAAGGCAGCAGAGTGTGGAGAGAAGAAGGTACCCCTGTTCTGTTTCTGGGCCAGCTCTTCCTTCAGTCCCTCGAATGTTCCCACAGTGGTTCCTCCAGACTTTCTATTCCTTCTGTGACCACATTAAAGGAACAGTAGTGTAGGCCATGGTGCTCTTAGTGTGAGTTACAGAATTCCTTGAACTGTATTGTGATTTATTAAATAAATGATTTAAGCCCATCAGATACAAGCATAAATTGATACAAAAGGACTAGAACTATCATCAATTTTCTTCTCTCATTTTCACTGGAATCATAAAAACACTACTAATAATGTAATCACTGAATCTTTCCCTAAACTCCCACCAGCAGTCTCCTGTGTAAAGACCGAGCTACAAAAATGTGTAAGACACACAAGCCCTGCTCACAATGCAACCAGAATGTGCAATATCAAGGAGTGTGTGGAGGTCAGGGAGAAGAGCCCTGAAGAAGAGTCACCAGTGATTGGAGAGAAGTATCAAGTGCAGGAGCACAGAGGAGCCATGGGAAGCCAGTGAGACCACGTAGATCTACAATGGCGCCTAGTGGACCAAGTGAACACAATGGCACCATCTTTGTGGTCAAAATTTTTGTACAACTTGGCAAGACTTTAGGGTATTTTCGACAATTAGATTAGAGTACTACAAATGCCAAAGGAAAGGTGCCTCCAGGGTTAGGGTGCTTCTGTTCATTTTATGAACCAGAACAGTACTCTGCCATGTTAGTTGGTGTGGCTGTATGTTGCCAGTGGTGAGGATGGCGGTGACCAGACATCCTTGGCAAATTAGTCTAGGATTTGAGCAGAACAGCCTTTCCCAGCACCCACTCACTGCCTGTGACCTGCAAACATCCCAGGCCTCAGTTCTCAGCCTCATTTTAAGAGTCCATACCCTCCCATTCTGCTCCCCTTCCACTTAAAATCATGCTCCTCAGAGCATGATGCAAATTTTGCAGCCACCTCCACCATCCTGAGTAATGAATGGGAGGCAGACTGCTGCCTTGAAGATGCTCGTGGGAAGTATAATTCTGATTCCCAGGTGTGCCTTGGGCTTTTAACATTTTCAAGAACACTAGGTAGTACTTACTTATAAAAATGCCCCTGGATCAACCATCTTTCCTGCATAGTGGCTTTTAGGAAATTCAGAGTCAAAAGTCTGCAAAAGGGAAACTCAAAAGGCAAGAGATCTACTTGTGAACATGAATATTACTATCCCTCTCCCATATCCTGCCTTTCCCACTGAGTGTTAAGCCTCCTCAGAGACAGGGGACTTTTGTGATTTTGCTTTGTGCCCCCATGGAGTTCACTCTTTGCTTTTGGTAGTTTATGTTCAATGAGCATTTGTTGCTTTTAGTAATCATGGCTCTCATCAGGATCATGGGCACCCTGAAGATCAGAGGCTAGGAGACCTGGATTCTTGGCCTGATGAATCCATACTACGTGCTGGCCAGCAGAAGAGGATAGCATAGCCAGCTCCCCCCTTGACACTGTGATCAGCAGTGGCCCTGAGAGAGACATAAGGGTCAACATGCTGCCAGAGATCTGTACCTCAGCCCAGCATGTCAGCAAGCAAAATTCCTGCTTGTCTAATTGGCCCTAAGATTCAACCCTATGTCCCTCTGATTTAGTACAAAGCGTGAAAACCACAGAGAACACAATCCAGAAATTACTTTGTCATGGTCTATTTGATTTGTATCAAAAACTAAAAGCATAAAAAAAAACCACGTGTTTTTAATTCCATTCACCATCCAATCTAAATTTTCCTTAGAAAAACAATATGCATGTGTGAAGCTAAATGAAATATTCTATGCTGGACTAAAGTCACATGGTCTGAATGTTATGTGGCCATGATTCTGGAGGAGCAACTTAAAATATATTACTAAAGACTTGATGATGCAGTTTCTGGGAAACAGAAAATTCATTCTAGTAAAATAGAAAATCAAGCATGCCACCTGCCCAAAATTAGGTTGCATGCATCTGAATTCTTCTGTGGACTATTTTAAACTCTTTCAAGGAAAATACCATGTTGTACTCGGTCTGAAATTGTCAAGTATGGGATTTACTCACCAAAAGTTATATTTTAGGAAAACTAGGCCATAGAATATTAGTAGGGAGACAGATGAATGACAGAAATACAGGTTTATTTCACTATTCAATTTGAGGAATAAAGGAGGAACTTTTGCAACTCGAGGTGATGCTGAAGTCCTTGAGTGGACTCTCACACACCCAACACTTGGCCATATGGCCTGATCACACCCTGTGTGGGACTACCAAGGCCAAAGGGACAGGTGCGTACTTTTTGGCAATATGTGCAAAAAGGCACAAAATAAAATTTGTATAGAATGTATCCAGACATTTTAAATTTTAACCATAAATTTCAGATGAGGGAAACTGAGGTATTATGGAGCCTGAAGCTTACTTAACTTATGAAATCCATTGTTAAAAGAACACAAAGGATAGATATAAAATTGCCAATGTTCCTACCAGCAGTGTAGGAGCTTCTGAAAGTGAGACTCAGGAAATTTAAGCTTGCTTAGCACCCTGAACATGCAGCAAAAAGATATCAAGTGGACCAAGCCTGGACATATTTGCTACCTGAAAAAAACTCATTTGCACACATCAGTCTCCACAGGGAAGGCTAGCAGCAGGGGTTTGATGTTGGGTGCAATCAGCAAACATGTGGCATTTCTGTGCCAAGGCCACATCAACCTTAAAAATGAAGCCATTGCTGGACTACTTGATAAGCAAGAGCTGCTTTCTTAGGTTAGTAGACCATTAGTCATCAACAAACATACTGTGTCAAGTCACTGTAGTAAATGTGCCACATGTATCATCTGGGATCCGCAAAACCATACTTAAAAAATTAAGTGTGTGACTATGGCTCTTTGCAGATGAGAAAACCGAGAACTAGGCAAGAAACTTGTCCAATATCGTGCAGCTGGTCTGTGAAAGAGCAAGGACAAGGCCTAATCACTTGTCCCACGTGCTAAGACGCACAGCCCCTGTGTGCTGAGTCAGGCTGATGAAGGGCTTCGGCTAAGGTATGACACCAGAGGCTGCTTCAAGAGTGCTGAGTGCCTCTCTCCCAGCAGCACTTAGGCTTTCCCTTTGGTTCATCATTTTAGTTATTTATCTGCAGTCAAAATGTCATGCCAGTCATATAAAAGCAGCTTGGAAATATCACCCCATATTCCAGAAGCCTCAGAGAGAGACTCAAGGACATCTTCCTCTCTTGAATCCTTTGGGTCTCTACACTCTCATCCTTGTGTATAGCCAGATGTGTATAGCCTTGTGTATAGCCATATCCATTTGGACATGTGACAAGTAGCATAGGCTTAATTATAGAGAATATCCTGCCAAGGGGAGGAAAAGCTAAGAATATGGCTTTTCTTATGTTATATACTTCTTCAGAACTGGTTCAGAAACCAAAGGAGATTCCTTGATGCTTTAAAAGGGAAATAAAATAAGGTCTTACCAAGAAGAGCAATCAAGTCAGACATTGGTTCATTAAGGATGCCACCGAAGGTTCCCGAATGAAAATCTTGGTCTCTGCATTTCACCTGTAAAAATAAGGAAAGGAGGGGCTGGGGATTTAGGTCAGCGGCATAAGCACCTGCCTTGCAAGCAGGCAGTCGTGAGTTCGATCCCAGTACCTATTAAAAAAATAAGAAAAAGAGGAGAAGTTCTACTTGGTTCCTTCATTGAAAGCTATTGCATGGTAGAAATCATGCTCTACTGTAGGTGTCCCTTAAGATACAGGCAGGTAACCTCCTTATATGCTCTCACTGTCCCTGTTTCTCAGTCACATGAATTGAAGACTATACCTTTCTCTGTTCCCTGAATCCCCTGAACTTGACTTTATTCTCAAACTCTTCCACTAGCAGGATTCTATCCAAGGTCATCAGGCCATCGGAGCTCGTACAGTTGTCTTGCTCTTGGCTTCATATCACACTGTAGCTCCCTCCCTGGAGAAAGTCTCTCCCTCTCCCCTTAGAACTGTCTTCTGCTTACCTTTCCTGGCTGCAGGAAAATTCTCTTGATGTCTCTTTTGCTAACTTGTTTTCTGCTTCCTCCAGCTTCATCTTGGCTGGTTCTTACTTATGTGACACCCTTTACTAACTTCATATCCTTAAATCAGCACCCCTTTAGGTCTGAGCTTTCATCTAAACCTATACCTAAAAGTTTTGGTTGCTTACAATTTTGGTTGTTTCTACTTGAGTGTGTGTCTAGTTTCTGGAATTCAATAGACCTAGAACTTAATTAAAAGTTTCCTACAATTACCTCCCACATCATGATGGCTCCTGTGTATACCACTTTACCATTTGCCAGGGAGTTTTTGTAAACTGTGTCTTCAGTTCATTCCTTTCCATCATCTCTGCCACGCTGGATTTTTCTTACCCTGATCCATCTTTAATGTGCTGTCAGATGCAATTTTCCATGTAGTTGCTTTAGCTTGAGTTCTTGATTTTATTTGGCAGTAAAGCTAATTAAAGCACTTTCACTTTATAGTCTCACCTCCAAAATCTTACACTGCCTGACCCCCCTTTCTCACCATTTTTTCTCTCTCCCTTTTCTCTTCTCTCTTGAATTTTCTACCTGCTTTTTGATCCTCCCAGGATGTCTAGTTCCTTGATCCTTCCAAGATCTCCCAACTATTGTTCTCTTGTCTATATTTTTCCCCATCACCTTGACATCTCTGTGGTTCTCATCTTGATTTGCTTTTCCCTTCTTTCTCCATCACGTCCATCTGGATTTCTCCAACCTCGGCCAACCCTACTCTTCTCGGACTTCTCTGACCTCGGATATGGAGCACAATTGCAGGTAAGTGTCTGTCTGCAAAGACAGGTGACACTGTACCCTCATACTGCCTGAGGCTTCATGCTCTGGCTGGTCTTCTTATTCTTCCCCCATAGCAACCACTTGAAGTACCACATCTCTGCAGATAAACTTACTTCCTAACCAGCAGAAAAAAGATCAGCCAACAACAAAAGAAGATGCTCCGTAGCTCTTATCTCTCTACCAATCTTAGACTCTTGTAGAAGAGGTTAATTTCTTCCCCTAGCTAGGATCTCCTCGTTTCCCACCTACTCAGTGTCTTTGTTTTCATAAACATCTCCATTTTCTCCTGAGTCTCCACATACTCCTTCTTTCCTCTCTTGGACTCTGCTCCCTCCTGCTGAGGCAGGGAGCTGACAGGAGTCTGAAGTGGCAGTGTGATGGGAAGCAGACAACTACACTTTCAGATGATAAGAAAAGCCAAAAATGTACGTAGTCAAAGAAGCAAGCCATTGCACTTCCTGAGCTAACAAAGAAAGTTGCAAAGGAAACCTGGAAAAGACTCCATAAACAGGAGGCGCACCTTTTGTCCAATTCTGCCCAGTCTATGAAGTAGCCATCTCTGCTGTCTATGTTTCTTTCATATCATAAATTTTATTTTATTTTAGCCTTGAATCCTGGTCCATATAAGATGTCCATCTTACGTGTGGCCAAGAATTCACACTCACCATCTCTCCTCACATCCAAGTTCTTTAAATGAGATTTCTACTGAGGTCTCTGATTCTTTCCCCTCCCCCTCCCACATCATCCCCGTGTCTGTGTCTTATGACAGTAAGCTTCCTGAGACTGCTTTATACAGTCATATATCCCCTGAGAATTAGCATTTGCATGTCTGGAAAGGGTATACATTATTTTGTAACTGATAAGAATGCATGATATTTCTATCTGGTCCATAACATTTGAGTCTCATAATTAGGTCATGTTGACCACTAAGTGACCTTTAGATTTCTATCATCAAAACTCAGCAGGCAGCTACCATAATAATGTTCCAGCATCCTCAGCGTCTGCCTGGAGAGCCATCCCCACAGGATGCTATTCCTGGCTCTAAATTCCAAAGCAATGATTCCTAAATGTTTTGGTTAGTGAGTCACAAGCCCCTAGGAATTCTCTGTCCAAAAAACTGCACACAAGCATACCACTTGCGTTTATATACTGCACCCTCAAACCTCAAGTCTTCTGTGATCTTGCAGGCTGTGTCTGAGGTAAGAGTTTCTGGCTTTGCTTACTAAGAGCCCAGAATGAGTTCCTCCCTGCCATCCACGGCCTCCACCAACAAGAGTCCATCAGTACCTCCACCATGAAGTAGCTGTTCCCGCGGGTTCCATAAGTGAGTGCGGGCTTCCTCCTGCTAAGCCAGAGATTATCTGAGATCACAATGTAGTCCACACCAGAGAAGAACCGGTCCTTTTCTTTTCTGATAAGTTCTTCCAAGGCAACAGAACCAGCTTCTTCCATCCCTTCCAGAATGAACTTGATATTCACTGGGAGATCCTGGATTAACAACAGAGCAAATTGACTGTACAGTCTTTCCCACTCGCCTTTTAAAAGGCCTAAGATTTGTTTGTATTCAATATAGATTCATTAAGTTACTACTTACATTCAACTTATGAACCCTTTACATTTTCATTATTAAGCTTTGTACACAGCACTGAAGTTTTAACTGAGTTTGGAGGAAGAAGTCCAGGAAGTGCTCAGTGAACGCACCCCAACCTGGTCTATCCATTTAATGCTATTTCAAGGGATTTTGGGGAGCAGTTCCTAGAGAAACAGTAGCATCCACACCACAGGGCTTTAATGTAGAAGGAAGACTTTTCTGTCTCCCCAAAGGAAATTTTTGAAGAAAATTTACTCAGTTATAAAATGCATTTCTGTCTGTATAATTCCGGGCATACTAAATGAAAACATTCTTTTGAATGATCATTAGGACTCAGCATATTTTTTTTTCCAGTATCTGTTATTTTTCAGTAATTATTTCAATCTGCCTTTTAATATATTTGAAGGCACTGATCTTGCAGCACAATAGAAGTTGAGTTTTTCACTAGTTAGTGTTAGAGAACAGAATAGCTCCCTTATAATTTTTATAAAATGCGTCTTTAGTTTTGATATCTCTCTGTCTCTCTGTCTCTCTCTCTCTGTCTCTGTCTCTCTCTCCTCCCCCCCACCGGATCTCTCAGTCTGTATAATTCATAACTTCATATCCCTACAAAACACATTAAGAAGAGAGATCAAGACTTTTGCTGGAGCACAGGACACTTGCAGAACTCTAATGGCAATTATATATGGATAAAGGCATAGTACAAAATGCTTATCAGTCCAAGTGAGTAGCATGGGCTCATCACGGATCAACTAATGCAGGATGAGTAGAGGATTATGTATTAGAAAATAAATGACCTTCAGGCATTCAGCTGAACAAGGGCATTTGGGGATAAAGATTGCTCAAATATATCAGCACTTCTGTGGATCTTAGAAAGTAGGGCTGAAGTTCTCAAATTTTAATACTCAAAAAAAGCTTTACTAATACTTCATGAGCACACAATTGTTGAAATATTACTGGAAAACTTTTTAAAGAATTTTCTAGTAAATCACATTTAATAAAACCAAACCAGCATTTGGCAAGTATTAGAGGACTGTGAGCCCGGCAGCCAGCTCTCCATTCAATTTCTGTGATGTCCCTCAACGCTCCAGGGACCAGGGATAAGCTGCGTCACTTCTGGAAGCTCATTTTGCTATCTATGAAATATGAATATTAATACTTGCTTTTTCTCTTAGTAAGATAGGCCAGTGAGATCAAATTAGTTTAAATGGTCTGTCAGCAAGAAGAAGGAAAGGAGGAAGGCAGAAACCGACCCCCACAAAGGCCCTGGGACATCAGATGCTTCTGCAGTTCATTCTTCCGACAAGCTTGTAAGGCAGAGGGAAACAATCTGTAGTTCACAGATGAGGAAAACCAGGAAACCAACTTGTCCAAGGGCAGTCAATACTACTTATGTTCCATTTGTGGGTATGTAACTTTCAGAAATAAAATTTCCAAATCAGGGAAGAGTTTGTCCTTTACATAGAAATTTTCCAATAAATATTGGCTCTGAAGGAAACATGGAAAGAGAAAGAAAGGGAGAGATGGAGGGAACAAGGGAGAATGTGGGAAGGGGAAGACAGAGAGAAAGAGGAAGAGAGAAATCAAAGCCACTCTATTTAGGGTCTAAACGTACTTTAGGAATGTTCAGTAACATCCAGTAAGTTGGGAATGAGCAGAAAGAAACTGGTCCAAAGAGCTCTGAGTAGCTCCCTGGAGTGCTGCAACCCCCTGAGCATGCCCACCTGAGCATGGCTGCCTGAGCATGTCTCTGGGAAACAGAGAGCAGAGCCTGAGTAGTGCAGCTCAGTGCACCTCAGCTTCCGGACCTCTTCTAGTGCCTGGTGCTCTGCATTTCCCCAGCTGTGGCAAGAAAGAGTGGGTGTAGCTCCTTAATCTCTGCACCCTTTATCTGGGCACACAAGGAAAACTCCTGGAAGAAACCTAACAATTTAGACAGGATGTCAAGTAGCAGAAGTTTCTTCTTTGATCATTTGCAACATAGCTAGTATATTTGTTTATATGTATGTGTGTCTCTAGTAAAATCAAACTTTGTGATGAGAAGGAAAAGGAGATTTAAAAGATAAGGATTTTTTTTCTTTTTTGGTCTTTTTCCTTTTTATCGGTACCAGGGATCAAACTCACGACTGCCTGCTTGCAAGGCAGGCACTTATGCCACTGAGCTAAGTCCCCAGCCCCTAACATAAGGATTTTTTAAAAGTCACAATTGCAGGTGGAACCTGCCACCTGTGCTTCATTCCCCCGGCCAATTCCACATCATGGATTCCCCAATCTGGCTCCAGCCACCTGCCAACTCCAAGCCCAGTCTGCATTGTTTTCCTTGGCAGCAGAGGCACCAAGCCATGCGTTCCCTTGGGCCAGCAGAGGCACTCACCAACCAACCAACCTGATAGGGGACAAGACTAATGCCCTGGGAGAAAAGGGGAGCCCCAGAGAGTTCCAAAGAGTTCCAAAGAGAAATAAAGAATTGGGGCTAAGGGGAAGACGGAGAGAAAGAGGAAGACAGAAATCAAAGCCCCAAAGGGAAGCCCACAGCAGCTATCAACTACAAAGACAGCATGGAGTTTTATCCCTAAAGCGATTCAGGTTAAGTTGGAAAAGAAACCGGTACAGTACCTATCATACTTCCTGATAGTGCTTACTGAGGTGCCATTTTGGGAAGGGATTAAAGCATTTAATAGTGAGTCACAGAACAAACACAAAACAATTCCATTTCAGAGTTTCTAACATCATACTTCCAAAGTGACTAGGTGAGGGACAGAGACCAGAGACAGCCAGAGAGGGTACAGCCTACGCATACACCATCTCAGATGTTTAAAGTCAGGCCAGGAAGGTCATAGGCCTCAGTGTCTGTGGTGAGAAGGCAGGCCCAGCAAGCGTGGCTTTCAGAGGCATTTGCGTTTGGAAGTGTAGGCATTGAGTCCATCTGTCTGTGTGAACCCCCTGGCTAGCAGCCTGTATTATGCAGACTATAGACTTGTTTGTTTTCTCTATCTACCAGGGTGAGTAAGGTCATTCCTTGACTTGGATGCCTCGCACAGTCTGGGCTGTATGGATAGAATGGCCTCTGAAGGAGGGGGCCACATCACAAACCCACAGGCTGTAAAGCTATGTGGAGAAAATCGTGATCTCCTGGACTCCAAGTCAGCATATTGTGGAAAGAAATTCCCCATTCAAAAAGTCAGAGGAATTTTTTTTCTCATCTTTTTCTTTTTCTTTCTTTCTTTTTTTTTTTTTTGACTTCTATATATATTTTATTTTAACATGAAAAAAGAATTAAAAAAATTCAAAACAAAATAATAGGAGATTTACAGTGGTTAATATATTGCATATTGTTATCTTCAAAGTACTTGTTCAGATTATAAGATATAGGCATGAAAAAATGATTGAATTTTTCCTTCATTGGTTTTTTTTTTTTTGAAGGGAGGGGTGTTTTATCCTTTTCTCTTTTTTTTGTGGGGGGAGAAATACTGAGGGTCAAACTCATGACCTCGTGATTGCCAGGCAGGCACTTTTGAGCTAAATCCCCAACCCTACTTTTCTCTTTTTAGTTTTTTCGTTCTTATTTTTCTTTATTATGCTGTTTTTTTCTCTTTCCTTGTTTATCTTCTTTGTTCTTTTCCATTACTTTTATCTAATACTATTCATTTCCTTCCATTCCTCAATAGGATCCTTTATCTCACATTTTTCCTCTTCTTTCTCACCTTTCCTTGAATTTTTCAAATTCTATTTTCTTCAGTTATGGTTGCCCACCCCTTTAACCTTATTTGTATAACTATTAACCTTTATGAATCTTTAGATAGTCAGTTAACTCTGCTATTTCTGTTATTGGAGGCACGGTTGCTGTACATGGTAGATACTGACTATGTGTCAATATTTGGTTCGTCTTAGAGTTTATAATTATAGATCTCTTTCCTACAGTTAAGGATGTTGTGTCACTGGTCCTTAGGATATATAAGTATCCAGTTAGTCTTTGGTGCTATTACTATTGCTGATTTTATAGCTGCTGCCAAGAAGGCATACTTATTGCTACTAATTTGTTTTGTCAGTGACAGTATCTGGGTTGTATTTGTGTCCTTTGTGCTGGCTCAAATACTTTGCAGCCTCTCCTCCCAAATCAATGCGGGTGGTTGGATCTGGAGACAGAAGCAAAGCCTATTCTTAGCCAGGCCTAGAGCGCATCACTGAAAGCAGACACAGACTAAAGGGATCTTCATACTAGCAATACAGTCTTCCATTATCGTCAGTTTACAAAACTCAGCACAAAACGAAAACAAAACAAACCAAGAAAACAATAGAAACATGAGAAGACATGAAAACAAAATGCCCCTAAAAATCCCAACTTGCCCAAAGCTAATCCACACAGCACTTAGGGGGAGGTATTCAAAAGCCACAGAGGTGAATTATTTGAAAGGAGAGAGGAGACTCTAAAGAGTCAGATCAAAAAGGTGCTTGGTAACCTGAAGGAAGATATAACTAAACAAATAATGACTTTAATAAACACAGTGATCTGAGAATTTACAGACGATGCAGATAAAAACCTAACTGAGCTAAATGAAATGATACAAACTAAATGATCAGTTTAGCAAAGAATTAGAGTTCATGAAAATGTACCAAAGAGAAATTCAGGAGATTAAAAATTCTACTGAAAGTATGTGCAATAAAAGTTACCAATGTGGACAAAGATCAGAACTAGAAAATAGCGCTGATGCCAGTGGCAATACATTCCGTGACACATTAAAACAGCAGGATAGGTCCAGGGATACAACTCCGTGGCACAGGACCTGCCTGGCAAGTGTGAGACCCTTAGTTTGATTCCCAATACCAAAAAAGAAAAGAAAAATGGATCTGATAGCCGACAGATAACATAATGGAGAACAAATTAGGAGTGAGTGAA